ATCTGAGTTAGCTAAAGGAAGAGAGCAGAGGTTCAAGCAACAGCCGAATTCGAGGACGAATTCAATCTAAGTGGAGGAGAATTGTAATGCATGTGTTCCGCAAACCTTACCGGCTGAAAATAGGTTATACTTCTGGACGATACTGTTTGGGACTCAGTACGGAGTTATCAAGCTGTGTGCTTGATTATGGTCATAGCCAGGATAGAATGGTCGAGTGAAATCAAGTTGGTCAGCAAGTTCTCGGGAGAATTGGGAAGATAACCGACAGTTTTGCAAGATAGTCGAGAGAAAGGGAGTTTTTCTCGGAAGAAGGATGGTTTTAGCCAGAGTCATGGTTCAGACAAGTGAAATTCCAAGAGTGCGGATTTTCTGGAGTACCTGGTCGAAATTCGGACAAGGCGGTTATTAGTCTGAGCTGAGCTGATAATTATCCGAGAGAATAAATGTAATGGTCGAGACAGAAATCCAAATAGTCGAGGCAATAATAAAATAGCCGCGAAATTATTAGAAATAGTTGAGCGGGAATGGTTATATCCGAGAGAAATTAATAGGTGCTCGACTATATTGGAGAGAAATAATTATTCGCCCGACTATAATAAAGATTGGCTCGACTAAAAAGAGATACAGTCGAATTAAATTAAGGGGGAGCGGTTGTTACTCGAGGCACGTGAGAGTTATTCCGAGAAAAGGAGCGGAAAACGTAATGGAGACGGTTATAAAACGGTTTCTGGATTATTTATCATGGGAATAGCTAGTTTCTAAAGGGAGATAGTGAATTTCCGTGAGTGATCATAGAGAGAAAACAGAGAAGATTGATTCTCCACAAGATAGTCGAGATTTTCTCGAGAATAGTCAGAGAGATCTGATAGTGGGCGAGTGTATCGCGAACATAGCTGATGTGTGAAGAGCGTAGCCATGAGAATCGAGGATACGATCGGATGGTTTCCGATTCCATTCGGTTTCTTCGGGAGAAAACAGAGAGAAAGGGGAAACAGGGAAGGAATGAGATTTCAGTCGAGGGATATACGAGTTTAGTCGAGCGGTTGTGATGATAGTCTACGGTGATGCGATTACAGCAGAGACGTTGTGGGAACCGTCGAGAGATGCCCAACTATATCCGGGAGAAACATAACTATCGCCGAGTGAAGATCGGAATACGGGATTTATGCGAGAAAGGATTAAGTTGTCCGGGGAAGAAGGAAGAACGGTCGGATGTCTCGCGATGATAGTCGGGTGATGTAGAGATCAGTGAAACGATTCGTCACCATATCCGAGATAAGCAGCCTGCATCGGGCTATAGCTGAGAGAAACAACAAACATCGTGATTATAACCGGGAGAATCACCAAAGAGAAGTATTATCGTGAGTATAGTCGATGGTAACGCGACTATAGTCAATGTACATTGGAAGTTACCGAGAGCCGTGTGACTATAGCCGAGAGAAAACGGTTATTCTATGACAGCCACCGAGAGAAAGTGCTTATGCCGAGAGAATATCCGACATAATGTGGGGATTAAGGGAGATTCTCTGAAGGGAAGACAGTCTGCCGAGAGAAAGTGGTATTGCCGAGTATGCTGCCAAGAGAAACGGTTCAGTCAGGAGAATCACCTAGAGATTTTACCTGGTTCATGACATCTCTCGGTAATGGTTAAACGATTCCATTAATGGTCGGAAGAAACATGATTATAGCCGGGAGAAGTATGCTACTGTCGGGAGATTTTGGAATGGAATAGACTACAGCCGGGATAAACGTGACTGCAAGCGAGAGTTGCGTGACTGGAATGACTGGCGAGTGGAATGATCGTGAATGGGCTGGCTGGCGTGCAATGTATCAAGGATCCAAACCGTCTCTCTTTATTACTTGGTCATGTGAGGATGGTTGGTTGAGTGACTAAGTAACAAGGGGAGGTTTGTGATTGGATTATTGATATGGTAGCTTAGGAGAATTGGCTGATCATGGAGACTAGAATTAGTCCATCCGATATCTACAAATGGCTAAGGTACTTGTATAGCTGGTTAAGTGTGGAACGAGATAATGGTTTAGAACAGTTAAATTGATGGGTTAGATGGATAAAAACTATGGAACCTATGGAACCTCATTAAGTTAAAGAAAATTTATAAATACCTAAATCTGGCCAAAAAGTGGTCTAATAAATCCTTACTATTATTTGAAAATCTAGGTCAAGGTGTTTAATTTGGTATCAGAGCCATGTTTCGATCCTGGACCTGTGGGTTATGGGCCCACCACGCTTCCACTGTGCGAATAATATATAAGGAAGTATTTTATGTAGTTAGGAAGTATTTAAAAGATGTAGTGCTACGTGGAGACCAACATCAAAGGTAAATAGAGACGAGGAGACGTCTCGCCATTTACCACACAAAGAACCTCTAATAAAGGACTCTTGGCTGGTTATCCTTTCACTATCTTTTATTCATTTTTATTATTAAAATTTTTTATTTTAGACATCCAAAATTCTATTTTAGAATTGCTTTATAGGCGAAAATGTTGATTTAATTCAATCTTGCTCCCCACATGCGATGACTATATACTATTATTTTCGTTTTTCCCCTGATTTTGATTCTGTGATCTCATCTTATTATATATGTAGTTGAAATCAAAATATTTAGTCAGTCTATAACCTACTCATGCAAATATATATCGAATTTGACTTCATATGATGACACGATAATGATTTTAATGCAAATCGTTAAGCTATAAATTATGATCTATTATTATTACAATATTGATTAATTTATAAAAATCAAATTCCATACCAAAGAAATAAAAAGAAGAAGAAGCGACCTGAAGTACAAACATACGAGGGTAAATTAAAAAATATGTTCACAAATTTCGACGAATATAAAAGATAAAAAGGATTAGTCTATATAGATTAATCCATCACAGCACTTCCGTCACAATGCAGTTTAAATGTATTCATAAAGACTAATACTCCTGTTGGCTGCTAGGGTTGTCCAAGTCCACCGTGGTGGGTGACCATGTTGAGGATATATTGTATCTTAATTTTTAGAAAATCCGGACCAAGATTTTCAATAGAGATTTTGTTTTACATCTGTTTCCTTATGAAAAGTATTTTGCTTATTTATAGAATTAGACTTTCTTCTACTTTTGTTATAAATTACTTCTTTGAATGTTCCGTATTGCTGGTATCATAAGAGAATGAACAAAAAAAATGTCTAACAAAATAGTCATGTTTTAATGTTTACTATTTAAATATATGTATAGATCACCAATCAGTTATAACTTTTATCGTATCATGTCAATTGATATTTTTGTCATCATGAAGCTTTTCCCATAATTAATTAGGTCATTTTCTAAAGTTGTTATCCCACCGCATTAAAATTTCTTCAAATAAAAAATTTATTATTCACCGGTGGAGAATAATAACTCAACTCGCAATACACAACAACATAGGAGCAGACAAATACAAGGTCTTTATCATTTTGAATGCAACCTGGTATGTGGCTTCAATTTCAACCACTTTTTTTTTTTTTGAACTATTTATTCGTCGACTAAGTTGACGCAATTAATGAGAGAAGGATCCGAGAAACTAAAATGTTACGACACAAGTGGAAGTTTCTTTTTATCTTCTTCGCTTTTCCAGTTTTGGCAATGCCTGCTTTCGATTTTAATGCTCTCTGCTCAGACGTTTTTTGTCCTTTTTTCTTTACTTAGATAGTAAATAATTCCAAATAAAATAAAAACAGCATTTGTCGGATTCTATCTAGTTGACTTATTTTATGGGCTCAAATTTCAGTTATAAATTACATACAGACACAGTTTATTTAATCGTTTCAGACTAAAAAAATTAAGTACGTAATGGCCAAAGGTTTTTTTTATTCCTCGTTAAGATCTTAGAATAGAAACGCCTCAATGCTAGATCCGAGTTTGAATCCAGACGTTTTTGCACATGCACTGCTTAACTAAATAAACAATAAATGTACTATGAAGTAGATTTATTACTCATTGCTACTCGAACTCGATCGATTCTCAGTCACATGCGTCGAATATACAGGTCTTTTCCAAGTATCTTAAAGGAAATTTTGTTTGCTTCGACGACATGAAGTTTAAACTAAAGGTTTATATATTTTATGGGCCTCAGCCTTATTCTGATTGGGCCTGTCTTGTTTTGCTAAACGACTCGCGACAATACAGACATTCAAAATTTCAAATCGATTTAGAATGTTCTTGTCAATGAGTTTGAAAACGTGTGAAAGGTGGCAGCGGGGCTTCTCCGTGACGACGACCGTTTCGTTTCAAAATTCGTGATATAGAGTTGTTTGAAACACATACATTAGTACAAAAGTTGTGAGTCGATCGAAATCTGAATCGTGCAAGAACATAATGAGCTAGTTTAGTGATTGCTGTATGTATAGGCTTTATATTACCTATGAATATCCACATGCAAAAAAAGAAGTGGTTTCTGGATTCTTCCGTTTGATCACAATCACTCTGTTATGTCCCAAGTTCCCGCCACTTATTCTATCTCCAGTTGATAAACAGATTAAAACAGCAATACAATCAAGAAAGACGTACAAAGAAGTACTTTGGTCAAAACAGTTCACAGCTTCTTACAAACCACCATACACAAGAGAATCTTGAAGATGATCTGATGATGTTTCCGGAGAAAGAATGTAAATGTCTCGATTTTAGTGTACATAGTAGTAAGCTTTACGTAAAACTTCTAAACCTAGTGGTCGCTCGTTCTAATTGTGTAGGCTTCCTGCATTTTGAACAGAACTCACAATTCACAGATATTCAATTCTATTCTATTTGTTAACTTATTAAATTCATTTAGTTTTTGGATGCGAGAAATTGAAGAGAAGCATTATAAACATTAAAGAGAAATTGAATGCGATACAAACGTTATAAACATTCAAGACTTGTGAAATCCATTAGATCTTCCCCTCAGGTTCTTGAGAATTTGTTTTTAAAAATCTACAAATTTGACAGTTACAAACAAAAGAGACTTCTTAATAAGTTTAAATAGCACCAATGTTTTTGAGGCCAAGGACAACTCCCACACCGATGATATGACCAACCGTGCCACAAGCCAACGTGTCGGCGAGGGTGAACCCGGCTGGGTCACCCGTTTGTAGACCCGAGTCACGTGCCTCCAGCTTAAGTCCAGCTGTCGCTTTCCTATTGGCTGATGGTGCAAGCCCGAATCTCCCCGCGAACAGCATCAGTGTCGTCGACGTTACCATTATCTAATTAAAAGAATAAACAATTACTGCTTAAACTTAACCTCAATGTTCATTTGTACATTCTTTTGTTCTTTAATTACCAGATTTGTTGATGAGCCAATGAAGTCACACTTTGCACCCAATGCTCCATTTCCCTTGCGTCTCATGGGCTGAACAGTTGCCTGTTACAATTTAAAATAGAAAAAAGCATTTTAATAACAACAATTTGTTTTTGCAAACTTGACACTAGAAAAGATAATTTAAAACATAAAAAAGCATTTCAATAAAATAAATTTATTTTTGCAATGTGATAAACTTGACACTAGATTAGATATTCGTTTTTCTTTAATCTGATAACTAATTCTCTAATGAATCTGCCATGAAAACATATAAAAAATTCAAGAACAAGACCCCAAGAAAATCTATTTGTTTTCATTAATTAATGACTTATCTATGTGTAAAATATCAAATTACATTTTGAAATTGAAACTGAAACTAAGAACATTGAAAACTACTAACCAGGCCTTGAACAGGAGCTGCAGAAATCTTGCAGGCTCGAAGACCATTGAATTGAGGCAAGGTAGTCATCACAGTGCTCGCCATTTTCTTTGGCTCTTACGTTTTAGTTGAATTGGAAAAATCTTTTTATTTTCTTGTGCGATCCGCTTTTACTAAATTATTTTCTAGCAGAATTTCTTCATACTGCCTTTAAAAATGATTTAGCCAAGTATCATCGTGTGGCTTTGGCAATCACACAAATGGATTCTGTTTCGGTCAGTTCTTGCTGACGCGTCAAGTAGCTATTGGCTGATTTAAACTCCGGATAAGGCTGTCGTCTCATATCACACCGCAGATTTTTTTCTGAATATTTTCTTATTTGGGCTTCACGTGAGGCCCATTAATACTTCGATTCAGAGAAAGGCTACGGTCTATGGTCTACTGTAGGGTTAGTGGTACTTTCGTAAATGTTTCAAGATACGAGGGGTAAACCTGAGAATAAAAGGTTATCATCAAATCATTGACGAACTTGCCGTGAAGATTCAAGAACACTATCGAGCTTAGTCAATTAAGTCAAACCGGTTGGTCTGAAGTCCTATTCTATAATTTACATCAATATAATATAATGATATTCTTTATGTAAATGTTCCTATCTTATTATAGAAATACCGTCAGTAGGGAGGAAAATTGGAATTATATAACCTAAGTAAAAGCCGCCACAGAAGACTCTTACTCTTGGAGGTATAGCAGCCGTAATTATTTAAAAAAAAATCAAGCTGCCAAAGAATAAATTGTTAGAAAACTGTCAACAGGGCGTGTTATTATTACTTTGACCAAGTATAATAGAGAAAATTGGATATGTGTTATTATGATTTAGAAAGTCAAATTGACCTAAGATGAAGTTACTGGATCTGGTTTAGCTGAACCGGGATTCTGATTTTATTAGCAACCCCGTTAGCGCTGCTGTCACATCTTAAAGCAAACCATTATCATACCGGTAATTATCGTCAGTACCGAACGCTGTAAGAAATTGGACCGGGTCAAATGTTTATTCTTCATCCATGCATTTTGAGAATCTTCCCGGAAGTTACATATGCGCGTGTGTATATACAATCTCTTCAAATATAAATAACACATAGAGATCAGTTCCAAAGCACATCGATCTCTTTCTTGCTGTAACACATAACTTTAATCTTCAATCTCATCATTACTTGAAATTTTGAATACTTCTGACAGATAAACTCAGAAATGGAGAAGTCACCGATCAAAACTCCATTAAGAAAGCTAAGAAGAAGAGGAACAAAACGGACCTGGAGACTGAAGCAAAAGCTCAAGCTGACATGGAAGTCTATCAAGATCCGGGTCAGGTCATATCTTCCGGGTTTCTTGGCAACCAAGAAACGCCTCACACACGTGAAATCACGAAACCAAGAACAAGAACTAGCTCAAGTTGCCCGGAAGGTCTGCAAAATCTCCAACGACTCGACCAAATCGCTGGCGTTTCTTCTTCAGCTTCCCAAATATTCAGCCGCCGATTTTCTAGACCGCGGCGATATGATGACTCCAGCTGCGTCTCCAAGGGAAAACATATCCAAAATGTGGCGTGAGATTCACGGTTCCAAAAACTGGGAGAATCTTCTTGATCCTCTGCATCCATGGCTGAGGAGAGAAATAACCAAATATGGAGAATTCGTGGAATCAGTCTATGATTCACTCGACTTCGATCCTTTATCCGAGTTTTGCGGAAGCTGTAGATACAACAGGAACAAACTCTTCGAAGAGCTTGGCTTAACCAGGCATGGTTATAAGGTAACCAAATACATCTACGCGATGTCTCATGTTGATGTTCCTCAGTGGTTTTTAACCTCATCTCTGGGAGAGACATGGAGCAAAGACTCGAACTGGATGGGGTTTGTTGCTGTGAGTGGAGACAGAGAGTCGTTGAGGATCGGTCGGAGAGACATCGTTGTCGCGTGGCGTGGAACCGTGACTCCCACGGAATGGTTCATGGATCTTAGGACGAGCAAAGAGCCGTTCGATTGTCAAGGAGAACATGGCAACAACGTTATCAAGGTGCAAAGCGGGTTTTTCAGTATCTACAACTCGAAAAGCGAACTCACAAGATACAACAAAAAGAGTGCATCTGAGCAGACGATGGAGGAAGTGAGGCGGCTAGTGAATTTTTTTAAGGATAGAGGCGAAGAGGTGAGCCTAACCGTGACCGGTCATAGCCTTGGAGGCGCATTGGCGCTTATGAACGCTTACGAGGCGGCAAGAGATGTTCCGGAGTTATCTGGTAACGTTTCTGTAATCTCGTTTGGTGCGCCAAGAGTAGGTAACTTGGCATTTAAGGAAAGGCTAAATAGCTTAGGTGTTAAGGTGTTACGCGTGGTGAACAAACAAGACATTGTACCTAAGCTTCCTGGTATCGTGTTCAACAAGGTTCTAAACAAACTCAACCCAATTACTTCGAGGCTCAATTGGGTCTACAGGCACGTCGGAACGCAGCTTAAGCTCGATGTGTTCAGTTCCCCGTACCTAAAACGCGATTCGGACTTAGCAGGGTCTCACAATCTTGAGGTGTATCTCCATGTTTTGGATGGCTTCCACCGCAAGAAATCAGGGTTTAGGGTTAACGCCAGGAGAGACGTTGCGTCTGTGAACAAGAGCACGGATATGTTGTTGGATCATCTAAGAATACCTGAGTGTTGGTACCAAGTGGCACATAAGGGTCTGATCCTCAACAAACAGACCGGCCGGTGGGTGAAGCCGGTTCGTGCGCCGGAAGACATTCCCTCTCCGTTATCGACCGGACCGAAACCGATTTATAGCTTATGAGAAATAAAGTTATTTCTATTCCATTTATTCGTTTTCTTGAATTTTTTTGTGTATATTTTCAATTCGATGTACATAGATCAAAGTTGTGAAAGTAATGTGTACCTTTTATACAAATTTAATAATAGCAAGATTCAAGCGGCCGATGTTGCTGCCGAGTCTTGATAGCGAGACAAACCACATGATTTCGAACACCAATTGTGTGTCAATAATTTATTTGGACTATATTTCACTTTTGGGATTCGATACTACTGATAATTATAAATTTGTGAAAATCTCCAAACAGTCAAACTGTACAGAGCAGATCCGTAAATCCTAGCTCAATCATTCGAGAGTCTCCATGTTTCTTGCTCTATTCTTGGAATGTGGACTTCACCATCGTCCTAGAGCCAGTTTCCTAATGAAGAGTTTGCAAATTTGTTGATTAGTGTTGCAGATCTTTACGATTCTTGGAATGTGAATCTGAGATTTCTATAACAACGAACGAAAAGGTGGAGTTATAGGACAATTTGGTTTCAGTCCAGGAAGAGGTTGAATTCGTCAATAGATTTTGATTAATCTCAATCATCCATCTATTGTGTCCACCTAAATCTAATGTTGAATTATTTATGCGTGTACAATTTGATATTTCATTTGTAAGAATAAAAAAAAATGCTCGTTTATGTAAATTCTAACTAAGAAGCGTAAACGCAAACATAATGAAACAGTTTTTCAAACATTTCCTTGTTTAAAAGTCCCCAAAAAGAAATGCTAAATTGACTTTAGATTAGTCTTCCCTGTTGATCTGATGAGCCAACCGGATTAAATCTTTATTAATAAATAAAACCAGTGAAGAATCATCCGGGGAAACATATTTTCTTTTGTCTTTTCGGATTTTGATTAGAACATGTCAACAACATTTGGATGAAAGCAGAACAAGTTGATTTTTAAAAGTAGCTTATAAAGTTATACAAGTTACAACAACCAAACAACAACACATACAAAGAAAGATCCTAAACAAACCCTAAAATCACACACATAACAATCAAAAGCTTCTAAAAAAAACCAACAAAAAAACCTATAAGAGAATTGAGGGATTGGATTCAATTTTTTTAAGCGGCTGATATTGCAGCATAGTCTTGGTAACGAGACATCGCGCCTTTAAACTGGTGATCCTCAGGCTTGTGAGAGCTCAAGCTATGCGGAATGTATGATCTGAAAACCTCCTCGAGGTTCGGAGTCTCCTTCAGCTCACGGCAAGCCACCTCGAGAGCCGTGTGTTCGAACCCTTTGTAGAATTTCTGGCGGCACACGTATCCGAAAACGAGAGAGGTGACGATAAGAGGAATCACGAGGGTTGCCCAAACGAACCTCTTGGCTCCCAAGTAACCAAACATAACCACTTGGAACAGAAACAATGCCGCCAGTATCCGTTGGTGAATATGCGGCCACATCCTTCCGTAGCTCTCGTATGATGGCACGTACACTTTCAGCGCCTGTCATAGCCCGTAAAAACCCCATCAAGATCACGTTTTTAATCGATCAAGAACACCTTTTTGAAGGGCTTAAACCTAACTAGGGAGAGACACTGACCTGGTTCCTGAGGACGAGCCACCCTAAACTGAAGTAGATGACGCCGAAAACGAGGATAAGAGGAGCGATTACGGAGTAGCAGAAGGTGATCGTGAGGATGAGCATGTCTCCGGGAACCCTAGTCGCGTAGTTTAAGTCTCCTGGGTACCAAGCTTCTTTGATCTCTGCTTCGGTTTTGCAGAGATACTTCTTTTTCAGATGGAATATTATCAAAGGTATGATCCGAGACAGCTCGAGGCCATAGCCCACAAAGAACCTGAAAGTTACATAACCATAAGACTTAGAGAACAGAGCAATGTATATGTAGTATAAGAAGTCAATAGGAAGGAAAACTCACTTGAGAGCAACGTAGGTCAAGAAGAAAGTCGCGCTCTTAGGTAGGCTAGTAGCCAAAACGGTGATGATGGAGTTTGGATTCTTTTCGAGAGCCTTCAACGTGTCGAACAAAGTCCCTGCAAGGGTTACACCGATGAAGACATTCAAGACCGAGAAGTAGAAGTACTTCCCCGAGGCAGCTCTAATGGCGTGGCTCTGCGAAGGAATCCCCTCGGATTTGGAGAGGAACAAGAGGAACTTAGGCAACAACGCCAAGAAAACAATGAGCGCGATCTGAGGAAGGTAAGACTCGAGGATGGTTCTTATAGAGGCGATCTTCACAACCGGCTTTATGAAAGGAATAATCTTCTGGAGATTCTCAAGAGTAGTGATCGCAGAGACGAACGTGATCGGGATCATGTAGAACAGAATGGTCACCGCAACTAAGACGTAGATCACATATTGCCTGATTATTCTACTGAACATCTTGATCTTGAGATTGTTCCAGATGAGCTGGCGAGGCTCAGGGGCTTCAGTCACCGTCCATTTTTCGGCCATCTGGCAATGCAGAGACTGAGCGGCTAAAGCGGCGGTGACTCGGTCGGTGAAGAAAACAATCGCTGCGGTTTGCTGCTTCTCTGCAAGAACAGCTCTCTGCTCTGCTTCTAGCTTAGCTACGGATTCGTTGATTAGCTCCGTGTAATACTCAATGCTGTCTACTTTCTTTCCCATTAGCCCAAGAAAGCCGGTTTTGTTCGTGGGGCGGTTACTAGTCGCCGCAGATATAGCTTCTGCACGCGCAAGCTTCTTCTTGTAACCTTCTAAATCTTCCCATATCTTATTAACCTACAACATAAGCATTCGAATATCAAAGACTGAAACTTTGTTCAAGGCAGAACAAGCAAGTAGATAGATACCTTTTTGTTTTCTGTTACGACGAGCGATCTGTAGAATGTCTCAGGGTATATTTCTCTGTAATAAGAATCGATGAACTCTTTCTGCGTCTGCCCATTAGGTGGGGAAGGTATATCCCTCACGAGAATAGCGAATTGCTCGGGTATGACATCAGTAGACATCAGAGCTTTAGCTCTCAGTGCAGCGACATGCTTGTACGCTTTCCACAACATGAAGTATGTGACCAGAGATACCCAAAAAACCGCTCCTAGGAACGCCCACAGCCTCGGACTCATTTCCTGTTAAACGGAAAAAAGGATAAAACATTTTGCTTAAAATGATCATCTGAAAATGGAATTAAAGGAAAATCTCTTTGTGTGTTTTTGTTGACTTACTGTGATGTTAGCCATTGATAGATTATCAAGTTGGCTAAAAGTTCCTTTGCTTATGGTGTCTGTTGGCTTCTTCCGGCTCCTTGCATTGCTCTTTATACTGTCGTCTGTAGCGGCTAAAGGGAGTAGAATCGGTAAGATGAGAAGAGCGGACAGGGCAAATATCCCCAACACTGTTTCAAACAAGAACATAATTTCAATACATCAGAAACACTTTGGTCATCTTCTTTTGAGCACTGAAGAAGAAAACAACCATATCCTGAAGAAATAAAAGAATCACAGGCTCTCACATAGATACATAAGATCAAAAGGTGTTTTATTTTAAGCAGATATGGACAAAGTAAACAGAGATAACATAACATAGTTTACATAGCAAACAAAATCGTCAGAGCCAACAATACACAAACAAAAAATCTCCTCAAAGGGAACGTTTTCCCCCCCCCCCCCAATTGTCTCCAAAGATGGAAACTTTTTAGGTTAATTTCCAAACCCAGATCAGAGAATCAACCAAATTTCAGCAGAAATCCATCAAATTCCGAAATTGGAACCACAGACTAAAGTTTCAGAGAGAGAGAGGAAGCGAACCAGTGCTCAAGAAGACGAAGTAGACGGCAGTATCAACGCCGGATAAGTTAACGACGTCTTGTTCGGTGGAAGTAAAAGCTTCACGGATCCAAGCAAATGGGTTCCGGGTCAATGAGCTGCCTTCCCATGGATCCATCCCTTTAAGGATCCGATTCGGGTAGTAAATCGGAACATTTCCGGATTTTCGAGAAAGCCAGGTGAAGAGAAGCATGAGAACGACGAAGATAACTGCTGATGTCCCTAAGGACACGAGAAAGGATCCAAATTCCATCTGGGTTTTTCCAGAGGAACCTCTCTCTCTCTCTACCTGCTCTGTTTCTCTCTAATCCTCAAGTTTCTGGGTGGAGATTTATGGTCAAAGGGAAGTGAGAAAGTAGCCGTTCGAAAGCAGAAATTAAAGAAAAGTAACCGCTCGTCGTCGAGGCTGTAAATTGGAGAAAGAATGAGAGAGAGAGAGAGAGAAGTGTGTATCTCGTTGTTCTTCCTCCTTCTGGCAATTGCAGGTGAGAGGAAAGTTTTCTCCTTTTTCTTTTGTTGTATTTATTCACTGGAAAGGAAAAGAAAAGGAAAAGAAATTCAAAGAGTACAGAGATTTTTTTATTTTGTAATATGTTTTGTCTTGCGGAGGAGTTGGTTATGGAGGAATCAGTTTCGTGAATTTATTAAATGGAGAGAGGGAGAGGTGTGCGAGGAGAGTGAAGAGCGTGTTTAAGTGAGAAGGCCGACAGGTGTTGATGAAAGAGACACCAAAGGAGAAGCATGTAGCCCTACTTCAGGAACGACGTCTCTTTTACCTCTAATTTTTTTTTTTTTTTTTTTCTCTCCTTTTCCTTTTTCATTCATTTTTCATTATTATTATTATAAATTCTTTTTCTCCGGCTTTTAACTCTTTTTTGCACTTCTCAAGCTACTTCTCATTTTTCAGTATCGATTAAAAATATATTTTACTTGTACCATCGATAATAAGGTTATTTAGCTACCTAGTACCTAAATTTTTAGAAGTTGAATATCAAGTTTTCATTTTTGGAAACTATCTAAGAATAACTCACAGGTCAACTAGAACATGTTTTTACAGATTTATCAGAGTTTACTAGAAGTATTTCTTAATATACATTGTAATTGTTAACATTTATATCTATACTTCAATTTATTTAAAATAATTTAGGCCTTTGATTTTTTATCAGTTATTAACCATTGTATTTTTAGATATTTCTGGAGTGAAGACTGAAGTGAATGCCTCTTTCGCGGTTAGATGCAATCTTTCAATAAGGTTTCAACTGTTATGAAGCACCTTAATTCGAGTGATTATCGAGTGAAAAATGTGGACTAAGGAGAAGAAGCTAAGTCGCCGAAAAGAAAACATTTGGCTAAATATACATGTGGCGCCAAAATTAAATTAGTAAATGACAGTTATTTCTATAAGTTTACTTGGCAGAAATTAAGAAAGCTTGAAGTCGCAATGCTGAACTTGGTCAATTTGCTTAAACTGTGCTACCAAAAATAAAAAATGAGTGGAGTAGCTGAAATCGCATGATTAAATTCAAACGAAAATAAAACGTATCATGCATATATGGTCTGAACGTATAAGTGGAATGTTTAGATTTAATTTGTGTGACCAAATTGCTTAAACGTATCTAAATTGATCTCATAACAAAGAAAAAATAAAACAACATAGAAGCAGTTATTTTAGAGGAAGCTCGAACAATAAAACCTTCAAATCTAAGTAGCTGTCGAAGCACACGAACACAAACTGCCCTCAACGTCAATGAACCATGGCTCAAGTAACAAATTGAACATTCGTTGCTTCGATGCTCAAACTTAAGAGGATGTTAGAATTACAATCCGGTGAATCTAAGAGTTCACACAGTTATTTATACAATTTCTATTGCGTCTTAGACAAATATAAACACGTGTGTATGGTTTTCATAAGAACAACAACAACAACAAAATAGAAACACGTCATCGACTTGCTTGAAGATAAGAGGAAAGCCAATGATATGTCGATTGTTTTATTTATGTTTTTCCCTATTCTCTGGTTTGTGTGTTTTTAAAAATATTTTCTTAATTGTGGCCATTTTTTCATTTAAATTAGCTCCTAACTAAATTACTCCACTGTTTTGTTTGTTGTGGTTTTTTCTTATGACCAATAGTATTGGTCCCAATATCAATTGGGTCCACACTGAATAGACTATATTTGTCAATAAAACTTCTGGCATCCAACTGAATTAAAAATAATTCATTTAATTAGAGAAAAACAGATCATCAGTTTGGGTGAATAATATTTTAATTTTGTAGAAAGATATATGCGAATTTGATAGAGTTGTGTCATTTCACAAGGGATGTGGTCCAGTTGTTGCCACGTCGGCATAAATTTCATTGCCGACATTCGAAATATCTAGTGTGGGTTCCATTATTCAAAATACCTTATCTTTATTTTATTATTATTGAAACCCCAAAGTCTTATCTACAACATATTTCATTTCAGTTGTGTTTGTTATTTGAAAGTAACGTGGTTCACAGATTTGGTAGGTAGTTTGGCTATTGATCTGGTCCAAGGTCTTATTGTAGATTTTTGTCCACTCTTCTTTTTGGTTCTAAGTATTTTATGTTCACGTCGACGTAAACAGAAACAAAAACCACACCACGTCATCAAGTTTCTCTTAAGGGTATGAACAATTAAATGGGTTTGCGTTAATTTGCGTATCGCATTGATTCAAGGATATTTGTCGATGAAATTATATAAATGCTTTTTGTTAATACATTTGAAAATTATGTAAACATTGCATGATGCAGATTTTACTAGTTTATTAGACAGAATTACTGCCCTTTTTATTAGGCAAAGGAGTCTTATATATATATATATATATACTTATATATTTTCTGCCATTTATCAGTTTGTAGATTCCCCCATTTTATACAATATTCTAGAAAAAAAAAATTCACAAGGTTAGATCAAGATTCAAATTATAGGAACAATCGGTCAGATTTAAAACTATATGATATATTATTAACAAAATCAAGAGTCTCAAAGTTCCTCTTTTCTTCTTTTTCAACTTTTCTGCTGTTCAAAAGAAAATGTTTTTTTTTTGTTGACTAATAAATTTTGTATAATTTGAAAAACGAAACTTTTAATTAAATAATAAGACATAATACCTTGATAAAATGTGATATTTCCCGCGACAAAAATATTTTTTAATAAAAATTGGATAAATCGCCATTCACTGCTAAGTTCAGATGGCTCCCAAATATTTTTTAGAAAAAATTGGATAAACTGCCTCTGGCAACATTTGCTTCGTGGTTTCAAGTACCTGCAGAATTGATATGTTAGTTTTCAAAACGTACCATTTTTTGGAATATTTTACAAATTTCTTCTAAATTTTTACCATTTCAGCCAAAAAAATAAAAATGTAGACTAAACTTAGATTGTATATAAAAAAAAAAAATAGGAAAAGATTAAGGGGTATCAGTTTAAAACTTATTGATGGATGTTTTTTTAATAAAATATGTAAAAACAAAAACACTCATTCTAATTTTAAAGTCATTAAAACTTTACATAAAGTAAGGATCCACAGTACATTAATTTTGCTGTGTAAGCTTCATCGTTTTCACGATATAGAATATGTACATTCGAATTCGCCCATAAACTTTGTTTTTTCGTTGAGAAAGGAGTGCAATAGTTTTTTTTTTAGGGAGTGCAATAGTTATTGACTTCTATGACCTGGAAATTAGAATCTCAAAGGTATAGACTGCCTGGAACTCGAATCTTATCAATATTCCAACTGGTTAGTTTTTAAATATGTATATAGGTTTTATAAGAGCACAATGTAGACAAATTTAAATCACGATACTCTAATGTGTGATTTGTGGATTATGCAAAAAGAATCAAACCTAAAAATTTCCAAACTATATATATATTGATTTCACTATCATTGAATTGTAGACGTGACTCCCACCAGTAACTTTCGTATGAATTATTTGGCATGACTTGCAATCAAAGGCAAATATATAATCACACAAATCAAGCAACATTATTATTCCAAGATTCAAAATCCGGCTAATGTTATTTTACGACATTCTCTCTGATGTTGTCGCTATGCAACGAATCAATCACATGTAATGTTGCATTTAAGTTACAATAGGATAATGAAATGACTCGTATCACTCCTGCCAAAGTAGTTATTTGTACCTAACTTACATATGTGATTGATTCTATCTTCATGTTGCCAAATACTTTTACTATGAGAAAACTTTTATACAGCTCTATATATTGCTTGACCTAGACATGAAAAATAGTAGTCTATGTAAATGTTATTGCCGTATCCCCCATCTTATTCAAATTTGCGTCATACATATTATGGCAAAAAAAAAACTATCTCCTATAATCCATTCGGCTAAACATATTACACTCATAATATTGCCTGGCCCAAGTAATTTCCTCCAGGACATGAGAAAACCAAAAATGGGCCCATGTCCTTTGTGAGAATTTGTTTTTTTTTAGATTGTGTTCATGTTCGGACCTAAGCACCTGAGCCCTGTTTTTTTGGACTCACTCAAGTTTTAGTCGAAATTAGTCTAATAGAGACTGTTTAGGTCTTATGCGAGCTTTACATGGGCCTATCAGAGGCCTCCTAAAACATTTACTTCCGATTGTTTACAATAAGGTATAGGTACTGGTTCTCTTGCTTATGGACCATTCGGCGACAAATCTTAAATCTTCTGTGGGCTTTAATAGGCCTTGACTCGTTTACGCTTGTCGCTTCTTCTTTTTTTGTCAATCCTTTTTATTTCTTGGTCAAAGTTGGTTCTGAGTGAAGGAATCAACTTCCATGAGAAAACAAATTATCTTCAAATTATATACCTCTTAGTTATGATCTAATCACAATATGTAAATTAAAAAACTACAATACGTAACCTTTTTGGAGGATTTTCATTTGTGTATATATTTATTCAATCAGAAACTAAAGTAAAGGGAAGAGCAAAACAGTGTCTCCCGTTTGGAAAGCATGTTGCAAGAAATTGAGCTGAATAATTACCACTAGCTTTTTCACATATTTTTATATTATTTTCTTATCTTTCGCTTTTTACGTGTGTTAAAAGATGTACCGGAAAGTAAAAGGCATATAATCAGCATTCGAATGGCCTTTCTCTTTGGTAAAAAGGTTTTAAGAAAATCAAATTATCCAGTTTCAAAATGATCAGAATTCGTATTTCTAAAAACGAAACTTTTGTTTTCCTTAGATAAAATTATAAACGAACTTCACAAGGTTGTTT